ATATAAAACAGTGTTTGCGAAGGATAAATATGATGTGGGCACGGTAAAAGACTACGAAGCAAGAATAGACTTAAGGGGGTAGACTCCGATGACAGCGCGATAAGGTAGACTGTCAACGTTACCCACAAAATTAGCCAAAAATATGGGTTTACGGGAATCGACTTTTCGTCCTTATATGAGAACATTTTTTGATCGTCAGGTACCTCTTCAGAAAGAGGAAAGTTCAATCTAGCGCGGTCTGGTCATTATTTTAACGAAAACAATCTGTTTTTAATAAAAAATCGTTTCTAAACACAGGCATTGTAACTACGATTTTTCGTCCATATTATAACGCTAATATTACTAAATATCAGCATATTCTGATTAAATAATGACCAGACCGCGCTAGATTGAACTTTCCTCTTTCTGAAGAGGTACCTGACGATCAAAAAATGTTCTCATATAAGGACGAAAAGTCGATTCCCGTAAACCCATATTTTTGGCTAATTTTGTGGATAACGTTGACAGTCTACCTTATCGCGCTGTCATCGGAGTCTACCCCCTTAACGAGTTATTTGCAAAAAACGCAAAACAGTTTTTTGCAAATTACTCGTAAACTATTGATGCTAGCGAGAAACTGTTATATAGAGATTGTAGATCTCGTCGTCCCCTACAAAATGAGCATATAAACGTTACCCTAAGTCCATCCGTCTGGAAGTTATTGGCGAAAAACAGAAAAACAGTTTTTTGCAATATTGCTGCACCAGAGAGAAAAGCGGGTTCGCATCCGTGAACGCTAGATGGCGCCACGATGAACTAAAAATTCATCGGTGCCAAGCACTTTCGCGTCCATGAACGCTAGATGGCGCCACGAGCAACCCGAAATTCATTTGAGGTATGTGTACAATGGCAAACAAAAGTTCGTTATTCGAACGGTACGTTCGTTTTTCGAATATCCATGCTCGTTTCACGAAAATTTCATGCGTGAATATTTGAGTGTTCATACGCTGCGTCGAATGAAATAGAGAATTTTTTAACTAAAAACAGTAGGTAGCAGAAGGTACGATAATATTTGTTTCGCGTGCATGCAGACGAATGACCGACGTAGCTCTATAACCTCTACGCGTCAACGTCAATCTCATGGATAAAACCATTTTTACGCGATTATCAACCGATGCCTAGATCAATGTAACTTGGCTCTACGTGTCGTCTATCGTTCTCTATAGGCATATTCTCGACTGATCTTTGCTAATTGCTTACCATTCACTCCTCGCTTGAAACGTGTGCTCGTGTATATTGGTTCACAATTTATTTTCGATCGGGGGAGGCTCATCGACGTAACTACGTTTTATTTAGATGGAACCCATGGCACTTGGATCACCCGTCGGAAGTCCTATGCAGAGCCCTGGAAGCCCAGGAACGTCGGCGTATCTTCCGAACTTCCTCTTAGGCGATACCACGACTGTACGTATCGTAAAACCGTAAGCGATTTATCCGAGAAAATCTGGAAAAGTATCGACTCTTTCTCGTTTCCCTTTCAGCCGGCTAAGATAAGCCTGACCAGCCCTCAAGACACTCCGAGGCAACTGCACATCGGTCACGCTCCTCTGACGTCTCCTTTGTCTCATTACGGTACTCCGGATTATCGTACCAATCGGCAAAAAGCGGTGTTCGGTGGGAACACGCCGAATACGTCACAGATGGTCACAGAGAGTCACACCGGTGGACCACCGACCAGAGGACTGTTCGATACTTTGGACACCTCGCAAACCGCATCGCCCTACGTATCGGCGGCAAACCAGAGCTTGTCTTCCAATCAACAACCGAGGTATCTGACAAACACGGTGATGAACACCTCTCTGTTCAGCGAGAGCTCGTTGAATCCTAATGCGAACGAATCGCAAGGTCTGTTACAATGGGTGACCGTGTTCGGTTTCCCTCCCAGCGATCTTAATTCCGTTTTGGCTCACGTTTCGAGTAGAGTTCGGATAGTAGACAAACATCCTCCACCGCACGCGCAGAGCAATTGGATCCACTTGAAATGCGCGTCGGAACAAGAGGCACAAAGGGCGCTCGCTTGTAACGGTAACGTGGTCTCGGGATCGGTAATGATAGGCGTGATTCCGTGCACGGACGAAGGCGTTACGATGGGAAACGACAAGGAGAATCGTCCGAGGATGAACGGAAGCGGTGTCAAATGTTTTTCGAATCTGGGAAGAGTGACTCAGTCGCCGGACTACAGTACGCCACGCACGCCTGTTAGAATACAAAACGTGAGGCCGCTGGCGGTCGGTTACAATCAAAATCTCAGTCCTCAGTCGGTGAGGACGCCTGAGAACGTTCCACAAAAGTCTACCGGTTTAGTATCGAAAGCGATGGAGTACATGTTCGGATGGTAGCCTCAAGCGGGATCGATTAAATTGTACAGGCTCATTCGTTAATGACAAGTATCATTTAATACGCTGTGTTGCGTGTGTTCTTTATAAAAAGTTCAATACAATGCAAACACGATCGACTGAGAGAATGTGTGTCTGTCTGTGTATATGTGTGTGTGTGTGTGTGTGAGAGAGAGGAGTATGTATTGTAAAATATGTAAGCTCGCGGTATTCGTTTGTTGCGCACCGACGACAAAACATGAAATCCCCGTTTCGTGGATCTTTCTTTACCTCGGAGTAATAATTTGCAAATACCTTGAATCTTAGCTACACATATTGCACTAATCAATTAAAACGATTCGTTCTTTGTGGCGATCATGTTATTTAAGAAATATTGGTAAGCCACGTTCTCTTACTCGGATCATGAATTTTTCAATTATCGCGTATTTCCGGTACGAGCGAGAAGATTTACAACAAAAGTCGTCCCACTTATTCGTATAGATATCGTCTGAACGAAGTTTTTTTATCTTAATCTCTTACGAACGATCATGTATTTCTAATCATAATTCTAATGCGAACAGGCAGCAGGCAGGGACGCATTGAAAGTTAGTCCTAGTCTGTTCCTCCCCTAGACCTTGCTCACGTGCTAACAACTAATATGGTACAGATGCGCGTTGATCTTCTCTCGATAATAATAATAATAAATAAACGTCCAACACTTTACGGCCGTCGATATTATTTCGGACTCTCGATGGTAGCACTACCCAAGTCCGTCATTTTTGGATATTTCACCTTTTTCTTCTCCAGTTCGTCCTGCGCCCAAAGTATCATCTTAAGCAAATTGTTCAATCGTGGGCTCGTGGACTCCTTGTGTTCCATCTTTAGTATCGCCGCGTTCAATTCGCTCGCTATCTACGGTAGTTTTGTAAGAAGTCACTCGATGATCAACGAAACGAACAGTGATGTATGAGGCCGATGAAAAAACCGGCGTCGAACGATCGGTTACCTTTTGTCTGTGAGTCGGATGAAGCAAATCGCTGTAGGGGCTTTTGTGAGGCTCGTCGAAAGCTAAAAGAGCCAGAGTACGCTCCAGTTCGCAGAGAATGACGTTGTCCGACTCCCCGGCTTCGCTGAGCCTGTCCTGGGCGAACTGCAAAGCCTCTTCTATCTTCCCGGTACGAATCAGTTCGATCAGATGCAACTGTTGCAAGTGGAAGTAAAGATATCTATCGTTGTCCAACAGTTCCGGATGCAACTGGTTCACGAGCTCTGTCGCTTCTTGAATTCGACCATTTTGAATCGCTTCCCTGATACGAATTCTATCGTCCAACGAACTCAGGTCCACCGTGGGTTCCACGCCGGATTCCTGTTGAAACTTCTCCGCGGCTTCCTTGAAACCTTCTGAACGAGAAATACTTGACTTTGTCAAAACGCCGCGCGAACGCGCTCCAGCTAGAGAGAAGGATCGGACTGACTTGGTGAACTAACCTGTAACTAGATAATTCATGATCAAATTGTTCATGGATACCCGTTGCGTGTAAGAATTCTCCTCCAACTTGGCGACCCAGTCATCCTTCGTCATGTTCTCTTGTTTCTCCGGATAGCTCATCGTTCTTCGCTGATCAGCATCGATCTTTACGAGCAAACGAATCGGTAAACGAACAACACCGCACAGGCGACGTACTTATTAAGTATGTCGAAAACTCGAAAGCCTGTTTGACACAACAGCTGATTCTTATCTCGCAAGTAAATAACCGTAGACACAACTAGGAACAATCGGGAAGAACGCGGCGTAAAGGCGACCTTTCAAAAGATGCGCGATAATGGCCGATAGCCACGACACATTCATTGTTCGATTTACAATTAGATTCGGGCTTGTGAATCATGTTATTTCGATCCGACTAGACGTGAGATGTCAACAACGATCTCGTTCGACGAAACGTGAAGAAATTAGAAGAAATCCAGGATACCCAGTGTCGTAAGACTCGAGGAAATTGAACGACAGCGCTGCTGCGACTACTGCTGCTACGCTACTGACTGTGACGCCATTATCATCTGCGCTGCTGCTTCGCATCGGATGATTCGTCAGAGAGAGGTTATACACGTAGTATACGCACAGCTGAGTCTTTTAATTGACGCTCAAAGGTATGGACGTTCAGAAGTCGACGGGGAATGCTCTCGAAAGCACTTGCCAATCAAATTTACAAACTCCTCCACGCGCTCAACGAGTAAGTTTCGTACGCGTTGGCGTACATTGGTCCCAATTTTCGTTATCAAGCTTTTCGTCGTAGAGATCTCGTGGATCGCGTCAGAAAGCGGTAGATAGTATAACGAAAAAGTTCCTGCGAAATTTCGATCCGGAACACAGCGAGAGGGAAAAGAGAAAGCTTCATCGGCGTTTGTATCAGGGCTGTAAGAAACACGCTTTGTATGACGAGAACGGCATTTATGTACAAACAGGGGATGATCTCTGCGATTGTCTGAATTTGGATTGCGCAGGATGTCATTTTCCTTGCCCGAGATGTTCGTCGACCAAGTGTGGGCACGATTGCAGGTTCGACGCTAAAGTGTATATTGTATTTAGAAATCTCGTTTTCCGACTATTGTTAGAACGGAAATTCTTTGTTAGGGCAAATCGGAAATGGGCTTACGAGTCGATAGAGAACGAAGGTAGCGACGTGGTCACAAAAAATCGTCTGTTGAAAGAATATTAGACGTAGCCTCGGGCGAGTTCGTGCGTTGGTGGTGCACAGGACACAAGGAGAGAGGCCCCAGCCGTGACCAACGTCGGCGTAACTCAAGTCGATCGATATTGAAAAAGGTCGAAACAATTTGGAATATGAAAAAGAAAGAAACGATGACTGTACTTCGGAGTCGTTCTACCAGACATCTCCCGCAAAATCCTTTCCATCGCGGGCGCGCTGGATCCGACGGGACCTCTAGATCGAAGCGGCCGAGTCCCTTTAGAATAATCGCGAATCCCCTCCGATCGAAGATGATTTCGGGCGCGAAAGAAAGTCGATCCCGCGAACGCAACGAACGAGAGCGACGCGTAATCGGGAACGGTGCACGTGCGTATGCATCGGTGTACGAGCGCAAACGAATTCACACGGACACGTTATTGATTTTCCGGATACTTTTGGCGTAGTGCGCACGTACCTAATGCACGTACACACGCCCGTCCCGAGGGCTGCGAAGTGGGGCGATAGCCCCGATGCGGAGGGCGGAGGGCGTGCGCTTCGTTTCCATCGAGATCGTGAAAGTTCACGGCACCGAGTGGCGAGTGGCACAGAGACAGTGCCTGCGAACAGCGAATATGCTGATCCCGCGGCCGGTAGAAATCGAGCGGTACGTCCTACGTCGATCGATCATACGCTGATTAACGGGCACTTGGACGTCCGACCGAGAGTCGACGCGTTACCGGGACATCACCACTCGAGAGACACCCTAGACGAGGAGGCCAGTGTCATCGACGTCGTCGTCGACGTTCCGGCTCGAGAGGACACCTCGCTTGGCACGTTGCCCGCTTCCTGCTTCTCTCGCTTGCCAAAGGATCGAATCCCTGGCCGCCGACGAACTCTGAACTCCGTGAACCGAAAGGACGAAATTGGTAGGTAGGCGCGCCGGAAACCCCGGAGCTGTTCCACGAGGAGGACCAACGCGATTCATCCCGAGCTCCCGTGGCGGCGATCCCTTCGAACCGAGGAAGAGGCTCGCCTCGGTATCGTCCGCCTTACCAGGTTCACTCAGATTCGTCAGACCTTAGACGGTGTATCGTCTGCAGCCGTCCCTCCGCTGCAACGCCGCATCACCGGGTCAATGCGATCGTGATCTTATCGCTTAACGCGATTCGTGACGCGTAGACGACGTTTGACCGTGGTCGTGGCTCGCCGATCTGACGAGAAGAGTATTTTGCCGGTCGTCGCCTGTCAACTTGAATCGGTCGTTTCACGGGGGAAGGAGGGCGGGGTTTATCAGAGAGAGAGAGAGAGAGAGAGAGAGAGAGAGAGAGAGAGAACGACGAAGGGGTAGCGGTCGACTCGCGGTTTTGTCTACAGGATTCTGTACGCTCGTCTGTCTTCCCGAAACCGGGAATATCGTCGCGACGAGGGTCTCTGGCCCGAAACGTCACTTGTTGAATACGTTCATCTATAGAGGGACGATTACGGATTGTAAGAGGATCGTGGAGTGGCATTCATATCGGGTCATCGTTTTTTTCCCCCGACGAACGATCGAGCGACGCGGTTTCATTGTCAGAGAAGGCTCGACGACTTTCATCCCCAGAAATTGCGAGTTTGCCGTTGACCGAGGCTTTTCCACGAGTAAACGCGCGACTTTATCGCGATTCCGAACCGTACTTTACGTACGAGCACTCGAAACGAATCGCGTGGGCGTCGCGCAGAGAGATAGCATCGCGTGACGCGTATACGTATTGGCCGGTGTAAACAGCAGAGGCGTAAAAAGGGTGAACGGAGGGTCGCTGCAACATTTGCTCGAGGCTCGTGGGCGTACGCGTTCAATTACCATATTTTTTATTTTTTATTTTTTTTTTTTTTTTTCTTTCATTTTTACGGAGGCAGACCGAAGGGAGCTAGAAGGGAGCGCGGAGGTACCCCGGCTGGCGGGGCTCAACGTCGACGAGACGGCAGATGTCAGGATGCCGGAGCAGAGCAACGACTATCGCGTGGTGGTGTTTGGAGCGGGCGGTGTCGGCAAAAGCTCCCTTGTGCTACGTTTCGTGAAAGGAACGTTTCGCGAATCCTACATACCCACTGTCGAGGACACCTACAGGCAGGTAAGCCTGGGACCGTCTCCCGATTACGATCGTGCACCGCGAACCTTCACGCTCTCGGTCCGGGCCTCGTCCGTTCTCCGGCTCGGTCGAACGAAATCGCGACTTGACGTTTCCAACGATCGACGAATCGATCGACGTGTGCCAGGGAACAGAAAGTCAGACCGGACGGGTGACGGTGAGCGATGGACATACGCCGCGTATCGTAATGGATCTCATAGATCAAACGAGCAAGGGGGTGTATCGTGACGCAGACCGGTGACGTTTCCCCGATGATGCGTATCGCGTGTACATGATGCAAGATCGTGGCACGGAACGTTCGTCTACCGTTATCTCGTTCCGTAATCGCGAGATTCGCGCGGAACAGTGCCACCGCGGTCGATATCGGCGTGGATCTCCGACGTTTTTCCGTCCTCTCTCCGTTTTATTTGCATTTCAAATTCGACTCGCCGAAGAACCGAGACAGAGTCGCGTAACAGAGCCGATCGGAGAAGACCCGCTTCGCTCTTAAAAAAGCCGATCTTTCCGGTGGTTTGCCGATCGACGACGCTTCCCTCGAACGGTCTGCCCCACGATTCATACTTGGTTCCCTTGGTCGCGATCGAGACCGCGCGAACGTTCGATCGTCGTGGACGATCGTTCGTCGGTGAGGCTCGTTCGCGACAAAACTGTCCTCGGAGGAGAGCACGCGAGTGCTGGAGAAGCTTCACCGGCGAGACTGTTGGGACCCGCTGCTGTGTGCGCGACGAGAAGTGCGATGAACGAGACGGAGAGAAAACGGGACGATATTTCAGGTGATAAGCTGCAATAAGAACATATGCACGCTTCAAATTACGGACACAACGGGGTCTCATCAGTTTCCCGCGATGCAGCGGTTGTCCATAAGCAAAGGTCACGCCTTCATTCTGGTCTACTCGGTGTGCTCGCGGCAGAGCCTCGAGGAGCTACGACCGATCTGGGCGATTATCAGGGAGCTGAAGGGGCAGGAGATATCGCAGATACCGATAATGCTGGTAAGGCATGCTCGTTCGTCGGTCTCTGTGCTTCGTACGCTCGCGTCCCGCATGCCGCTTTTGCCTTACCCGAGATCGCTTCGCTTTCGTTGGTTCTTTCGATCGGACAGGTGTGTATGGGACGTCGATGTCGACAGGTCGGCAACAAATGCGACGAGAGCCCGTCGGTGCGCGAAGTGTCGATGAGCGAGGGGGCAGCGGAAGCCGCGAACTGGGGCTGCGGCTTTCTGGAGACGTCCGCCAAGACAAATCACAACGTGAACGCCCTGTTCCGGGACCTGTTGATGCTCGAGAAGAATCGGTCGGTGTCGCTGCAACCGGTGCAGAGCAACAACTCGATCAGCCTCAAGGAGAAATGCTCCGTGATGTAACCGACGCGGCGTAAGCAGCGAGAGTCGGAAGGACGACGAGGGCGACCGCGTCTCGCGTCCGATCCGGAACGGCGTCGGCCACGCTAGTCTCGTTCGCGAGACTCGTAGTACGCTCTTTGCACGGTCGCGAGCAAACAGACGTTCGAAGATCGGTCGACCACCGCGTGGACGGCCTCGTAGCGATCGCGACTCGGGTCACCGGGGTCGCTCCGTAGTCTCATTCCGACCGAACGTAATCTATACTCGTCGATAGATTTTTTAATTTTGATACAGAGCGACGTACTCGGTCCGCTTCCTAGGTTTCACGAGACCAACGACGCGCGTTCTTCATTCTGTACCGCTCGGTATCGGATCATCGCACACGCATTCACGTATCATGTCCCGACGACCATCCATGTTCGGCCGTACCGAGCTTACCTACTTATACGCGTATCAGGGAGGGACGCGATCGTTCCGACCGATCGAGACCAAGCGAGCAAAGAGAGACGAAACGACTCGAACGAGACCCATCGTCTCTTTCGTGACCGACCAAACGTACGAATTTTCCTCGAAAGAGCTCGTCGGTCCGCACCGCATCGTCGACGTTTCACGTACGACGGAGAAGCGACCGTTTCGCGGGGATCACTTTGAAACGCTGTACGAGACCGCTAGGAAACGATCCGGGCTCTCTTCGGGATCGACGTCGCGCGAGGGACGAGAAGAGGAGCGCGAGAGCGATTTACTCGGACGAGAAACGACGAAACTAGGTAGAAATGTTGTTACGAGATTGGTTTTTGTTGAATAGTTGTAAGGTTTTTGTAACGACGCCAATTAGGATTTATTACTCGACGCTGAACGACACGGATACTCGTCTCGCCGAGTACCGAGGGACACGTCACACACGTATCTAGGCATCGGCTTGCACACACACACGCGCGCACACCAACACGAGTTCATTAGGCACCAACCGTTTCTCGCGTTGACCCAGATTTTTAGTGTTTCCCTTCTACGTCGCGCACGTACACGCGCGTACACGCGACCACGTCGGTGTTGGCGAGTCGTTCGTCGAACGAACTCGCGTTCACCGAGGGACCCTCGACTTTCGTAGTTCGGGGGAGCCATTACCCAAATGCGTTGCGTCTCTCGCGAACGCATCGGACCTCGGTCCGATTCGGACGAAGGCGTCTGCCCGGACCGTCGCGCCTCGCGACTTTCTTCTACTGTTCGTCCCACGTCTTTGTACACCCCCGTCGTCCGTCGAACGGACTCTCGGATCGTCTCGTTCCATCGTGCCGTTCTTTCGACACGTCCCGCTGGCGAGTCTGACGAACGGGGGTCTACGCGTTATTCGCTCCGCAATGTTCTCATTGTATCTCCGATCACTATCGACGAATCACGATTCCAGCGTACGTACGTCGCGCGTACATATCATAAGTTATATTTGGACGCCGCAAGGTCCAACGGAATAGGTGGTCAAAGGCGATTTCGTGAGATGCGACCCTCGCGAGCCGAGAGACGAGAGAAAGAGGGCGGTGAGAAAAACTCGATGAATCGACGATTCTATGATTTTTCCGGGGCCAATCGGTGAGACACGTAGAGATTGTAAGCTTGTTCCGCGCGCGATTCTGTCCGACAATTTACGATCGTTTCGATACGTTTTTTATCTTTCCCGAACGTCCTAGTCTCTTTCTGCACGGACACTCAACGGGACTCGTTCAGCTTCCTTTTTTATACTTATCGTTAGCATCGATCCGCGACATTTCTACGATCAATTCTGAGGTACGCGCGATCAGCAAAAAAAAAATGAAAATACTGATCGGTATCGAAGAGCGCGCGATTGTTTTACGTAAATTCGATTGATCGCAGGTCACGCGTACTTATAGGCGTACGATGCTGTACGCGCATCGATCGTTTGTCGTACGATTTCCGGGTCACGTACGACCACGAAGCGTACCAATCGTGACGGATCTCGTGCGTACGACGTTACGCTTTACTCTTTACTTACCCCCCGGTGTTCGTACCTTAGGTAGGCCGAGGCAGGTTGTTATTCGAAGGCGAAAGTCGAACCGCGGCGCGGCGGATTCGCGTAGACAAGGACAACTATTTATAACAGATGCATTCGTCATAGAGATTTATGTATAGGAGAATTAGAGACGTACGCGTAAGAGATGAGCGAGTTTCGGAGCGGCTGGAATGCTCGTTTCAATTTTTTTTAATACCGACCGAATAGAGAAGAGACTGCAAGCGGGAGAGCGAACGCGGGGTTAAATTAACGAAACGTGTTTAAAGATATAAGGAACGTAGATAGAGTACAGTAATTGAGAAGATTATCTCTAATAACGACAGTTCGAATAGACGTGTACGAATACCGCGCATCGCGTCGAGCTTTCCCAATTTTTCTTCGTCGTGTTCTTTCATCGATTAGATTAATGTAATTAGGCCTTAAGGACGCGCGGTGTTCATCGTGTGTTCCTTTCGCTCGTCCGGAGCGAATCGTCCGGAGATTCCGCGAGAATCGAGTGATCGGATCGATGGATTCGTCTTCGAATAACGAACTCCACGATCGGAATGGGAAAAGATCGTCCGTGCCAAATTCCAAACGAAACGCGTTGCCCGCTGTTTAGATTTTAAGCATCGCCGATCGAGTGACGCGATCGATTCGCCGACGAGAAAAGAGGACACGAACGATGCAACGAGGGAAAGGATGGTTCTCCGTTTCGCAGGTGAAGATCCAACGCGCAAGGAGGAAGAAGAAGAAGAAGAAGAAGAAGAAGAAGAAGAAGAACGGCCGGGTCGAAGGTGGGAACTTTTCAACGATCAACGAACCTGACGAGAATCGAATAGAATCTCATGGCACCCACGTGTCTATGCAAACGAACAAACGGATTCCCACTTTCGATTGGACGCGGAGTCGACGAAAACGAAAGAATCACATATCATGGTTGCGCGATTCGCGCTGTATACTGTACACTTAAATACGTATGTACCTACTCGCGGGAGTGCGTTCAGAGGCCGGCACAAAAAACGTTCGATGTAGAATCCGCGACGCGACCGATTCGTGTCGGTTTCTCGACGCGGTGACATCGGTACGATGCCTACAGATCCGACTCGGATCGGTTCGGTTGCGGACGGTGCGCCGCGGATCCAGTCTGACGCGACGCGTTACCGAGGTTCACATCATTATTATCCACACTCGAACACCGTTAACCGACCGTTCGACTACGAATCTGTATCGACGAAGAAAACTGATTAAAAGGTGCGAATTATACAGTCTTAATCATAGTAGTTCTTATTCCCGGTCTCCGTTTCCAATTTCCCCGTTACCGTCCCCGTTTCGAAAACGACGCGCTTTCTGGAAAATCGCTCCGGATGCATCGCGTACGATCGCTCTTGCCGCCCGTCGAGGCTCGTGCCCCGTGTGTCGAAGAAGCAAAGTCGAAGCCGGATGAGAAAAGGCAGAAGCCGGAGAGTAGGTGTGGTGAGGAGAACAAACATCGCCGGGCCAATCGTGGAGAAAGGGTGGTCCGGTGGATGTTTGTCTTGTCGCTGCTCCGGAGGGATGCTGTTCGTATCGGTGAGCCAATCGCGCGCGATCTCACGGAAAAATCCAAATCTTCGCCGGAGATTAGAACGAGATTTCTTTCAGTCGGCTGGCTACTCGGTGCCAGTCAATTTCCGATTCCATTGTTAACGCGTCGTCTATCCGTTCACGCGCGTACGTCCGAACGAGCAACGTGGTTCTCCGACCGATTTCCATCCGCGAATCGCTTTAGAATCGAGAGCTCTCTATCCTCCGCGCGAAATCTTAGAATGGTCGGTGGTCGTTGACGAACAGTAACATGTTGCGCGGAAAGAACAGGAGCAAAACGGTGAACGAGGAAGAGGAGGGCGAGCCGAAACAGAGGAGACCCAAGTGCGCCCGGTGTAGAAATCACGGCTTGATCTCCTGGCTGAGGGGGCACAAGAGAGAGTGTCGGTACAGGGAATGTCTTTGCCCGAAATGCTCCCTGATCGCCGAGAGGCAGAGAGTGATGGCTGCTCAGGTAATTACACGCGTCCGTCGAGCTATCGGC